CCTGAAAAGTGGCATGGGCTTATTGGACAGATGGGCCTAATGGCTGGGACCTACGGTAAAAATTTGCAAGTTTTTATTCAAAATCTCGTTTAAAAAGAAATACACCTATCAGCTGATAACATACTTTGTTTAATGGTTGACTCATCCGTAAGAGCTACCAATAAAAGAAAACTCCTTGAAAAATAACTAATGGAAGAATTATATATAGTTAATTTATCAAAATTCTAATTTGCCAATTAAAACAGATCACAATCAGCTACAAAAAATGAATAAATTATTTTCTGGTTATTTTTAACTCAAAACTATTTCTCGTAAGTGTTTTTAGTTTTGAGTCATCTGAGAATAAAGTTTCAAAAATTGAGGAAATATATTTACTTTTCTGTTGGTTAAAGATTGTTATTTGTTACATAAAACTGTTTTACAGGTTATGAATCCTTTCATTCGGCAGAACTAGTTCCACTTCCTAAACCTGAAAGATGCAACTCTCTCTCATCCCCAGAGTACACTGCTAATGCACATCTTCTCCCAACTCCATCATCATCATCTCCCACACTGGAAACTGAGATGGAAGAGAGAGATGGGAACTGGTTTTTAGCTGCACTGGAGAAACAGAAACAGCAGATTGAAGAAAAAGTTTTAGAAGTTGAGAAAGAAATGATGAGAAGTGACATCCCTGAAGATGCTGCTGGGAAAATGCGAGCTGCTATTGGTAAAGCCAATCTTTTACTCTCTCAAAAATTTGAACAATTCCGAGGACTGTGCAAGAAAAATTTGGTAAGTTGTATTCTTCGCTTGAAAAATAATTACATTATTATCCAAAAGTTAAGACTTTTGTACAACCTAAATGACATCTTCTTTACAGTTATATTTCCAAGTTTGTATTTTATATACTTTTCCAAATAAACCAGTGTTCAATATTTATATATTATAAAATTCATGTAAAATAAGTTGACAAATGTTGCAGTTTACATGTTGTAGTTATGCTTTCTGAACTCTATTGGTAATCATATTAACTTTTGTAACATTTATCAATATAATAGTTAATGTTTACTATGATTACAGATTTACTATGTGTATCTTCAAAAAATTTGGCAGGCTTTTAGTAAGCATGAAAAATCTGTTGTACACAAAAAATTAGAATTTTTACTGAAGTATTTTTACTAAAGATTTGTCTGTTAATTTACGAAGTTAGTCTGGTTAAGACTCTGACTAGTCTGAGTACAGGGGGGTTTTCATATTAAGAATAAAAATACTTTTTTTCATCTTACAGTTTCATATTTCATCTACAAACCTCTAGATCTTCCTAAATGAAAATCAATATCTTACTTTCTTATTGTTGTTTCTACCTTAACACTATCTGTAGTGAAATCATATTGCAACAGACAATTATGATTATTTATCCTAAAATATTTAAACAATTAACCTTATCAATAATGCTGTCAGTTAATTCTATTGTTTTATTGCTTTTTGAACTGTATCTGTCTACCAAATTAGCATAACAAAACAATAAATCTCCTAGCAAGAGTATTAGCTCAAGTTAGAGTAAACCAAATATCATATCATGTAATGCATGAGCAGCTCACATGCAAACTAGGTAGAGAAATTTGATTTAATATTTTTTTATTTTAAGTTTCCTTGTCTAAAAAGAACTAGTTACTTTACAAAGTATATACATAACATACATAAAAAGTTTAATTTTTGTATGTAGGCTCTTGTACTTGATCATTAAAGTCTAGTCAAAACTTAGCTTTGTTTTATGGTAGGGTTACTCAAAGTATACAAGTTATTTTTTTAATTCAATACACAGTTTAGAATTTGAAATGTTAATCTTCAAAAACTATTTTTTTTAAACTATTATAATTTAACTAATACATAAGTACATTAAAATAATTACCTTACCTGATCAAGGTTATCTCAGTGATAGCAACAATGAAACTGTAGGCCATGTAATTCAAAAACTGTCATCAGGATGACTAGCCTTATACAGAAGTCTGTAAATTAAAATATTCTCTTTTTATTGGTTATAAAATATGTAATAGCAAATGTTGGAGAGAATTATTTACGTTTTGTTGAAGTGATAGGTGCATGGCATGTGGGTTTGATTTTCTCACTTATATCTTAGTAAAGCAAGAAGATTAGAGGCTGTAAGTTTATATTATGTTTTAGCAATATCTGCACTATAAGTTTGTAATTTGTATTAAAACTTAGTCTCAAATAGGGGATGGCAAGAATATATAAAATAGACAATTTAGAGTGAAGAAGTGTCACATGATAGAAGTGAAGATTGAGAATTTTAATATTTTCCTTTGAAATTAGTAAAACTTATATAGTATTAAAATTTGAATTATAAACTATGTTTTTATCCCATGTTCATTGATAATAAGGCTGTTTAATGAAATTGTGAATGTAACTTAGTAGATAGTTGTGATTTGCACTTTGACTCCCACCTGTGCACATTTACTTACTTACTCAAACATAGGGCTTCAACAACACTTCACCATCAAACACAGTTCTGGGCTGCCTTCTTCACCTCACCCCAGATCATTCACATCATCCCCATCTCTTTATCAACTGCTCTTCTCTAAGTCTTTTTTTGGATGGCCCACTTTTCTTTTACCTGGTGGGTTTTACTCAAGATCTTGTCTGGTGATGTTGTCCACCTATTTCCTGAGTGTATGTCCAACTCAGCCCTATTTTCTTTTTGCACTTTGGGTAGTGATTGGATCTTGGTTCTTTGCCATAGGTCATTGTTTCTGGCCACTTAATTTGCAAGATGTTCTGTAGACATCCATTGATGAAAATCTGGAGTTTGTTGAATGTGGTGTTGTTTACTTTCCATGTTTCAAGATCATAAAGCAGGACTGACTCGATGTTGCTATTGGAAATTCTGAGTTTGTTTCTTCTGGAGAAAACCTAGTGTTCCAGACTGGCTTTAGGGTGTTGAAGACATGACCAGTCTTTCCTATTCTGATCTTTATCTGTGCCAGACACAAGTAACAGACACAAGACTGTCCAGTAAATTAATTTTTCTTCTTCTTCTTGTAGGTTATTCCAATTTTGTTTGATGGCATAGTCCTGCTTATTGTGGATCTTCATCGCTTCTGTTTTTCCCTGTGTGCACCAGAAGCCCTGTCTTTGCTGTTTTTGTGATCAGTCTGTCTATTTTTTATTGCATGTGCTGCCTATTATGTGACATGAGACATGGATCATCTGTAAAGTCTAGGTCTTCAAGGAACTGTGTAATTGACCACTGTATTCCAGCCCTACCTTGCTTTACTGTTTCACTTCAGTCTGAATTTTTATGGCCTCAGCTTTCCATTATAAACAAAAGCAATCAGAGAGATTGCATACCATTGCCTTGCTGCTCCTTTTTGAGATTGCATGCATTTATATTGGATAATGTCAAATTTCACTCTAGAAAACTCAGAAAATCCTTTCAAGGTCCAGAATAATCAATGATCCAGATCATTTTTATGTAGTGTGATGAGGAGTCTCAACCTTAATGCACCCATGAAATTTGGTACAAATCCGATCACACTTTACAGAGTTATTAAACCAAAACTGTGAAAATGCCCTATGCTTCAAAGTGATCCAAATTTGGATCTGAACCAAATTTAGGAAGGACTGTCCCATATTGAATTCCCATCTTGTGTGACGGTCTATTAGTTTTTGAGATACACTCATAGAAACACAAACAGACACACACACACACATAAACCCAATTGCAATACCCCGGAGGGAGTGAAGGTAATAACCTAGCAAGTTCTGCTTCCTACAGCTGTTGAATGAGGTTGCAAGACAATGATGGCACACCATAGTGCTATATAGTTGCCAGGTGACCTCTCAATCTACACTGGCAAATGTTTTTTCAAAGTCAATAAAGCTAAGGTATAGCTTTATGAATTTATACTTTTGATGGTGGACTGGTGACAATATTTGGCCTGGGTTTTGCTGATGGGATGTTGGGCTTTTTAATTAGTGGTGGTCAGTTGAATGTCTTCTGTACTGTCTTCTTTGTGATCATCTTTCCTGCTTTTTCCTTTTTGGCTATGTTTGGGTCTTATTTTTACCTGGCAAAGTTCTGGTGATTTAGTAAATTGTCCCCAAGTGTCTGTTGTCTTTTCTGGCACTTATTTTTACTTCTTTATTCAAAAAGTAGTACCCAGTTTGAAGCTCCTTTTCTGTGATAATGCCACAGCAATTGATTTATTGCTTGAGTTGTTTCCTTTGCTCTATAAATGTCCATGTTTCAGTGAAAGCCATTCTTTATGTTGTGTTTTCTTCTTGCCTAGGCCTCTGTGCATGTTTCTTTTCATGCATCCTTTAGAAGAGTCCAGTGTTCATCCAATGGCTTCTCATCTAAAAATGTTTTAAGGGCAGGAAATATATTTTGTAAGGACATTGCATATGTTTCCCTCATTGCCTGTACTTTGAATCCCTGGATTTTAAACTTGTGGTGAGGCCTATCAAATGTGTTTTTGAAGACCCTTAGTTTGATTTTCAGAGTTCAAAGTATGAGATGGTGGTCAGACACAATATCAGCACTCCTCTTCACTCAGACATCTAGTAGGCTTCATCTCCATTTTCCTGCAATGGTAATATGTGTTACGTATTAGAATTTCAAATAGCCTGAA